GATGGTCTAGTGGGTGGAGCCCCTGTGCTGAGCAGGGTAGACACAAGGACAGAACGGGGGTCTCTGCCCAACCACGGGGTCTGGGCACTTGACAAGCAGGTGGAAAGGCCTGGGTTCCCCAGCCAGTACCCAGAGGCCAGGGAGATGAGTGGGGCAAAGCACATTCTGCTGGGGACTGAAGACAGATTGAGGGCTTTGACCATCACCTGAGACCCCCAACCCTCTGCCCCGTAGCTGAGCACCCCCAGAAGGGCCCAGCCACTTCAGAGGGGGCTGGAGGTGGGCAGAGGAAGAGGCCCGGGAGCGCCCCAACATTCCCACCTTCCCAGCCCCCAAGGAGTCCGATGCTTGATTCCAAAGGGCCGGAGACTCTTCAGTCTCTTCACACAGTCCCCTCTGTGCTCCCCCCTCAGGCTCCTGGGACCAGACACAGCCCCAAAGGAAGACTTGGAGATGTCAGACGTTAGGACTGAGACAGCGTTGAGGAGGTGACTTGGGAGACGTCCCTCCTCCCCACTTGAGCTTTTAGCTGGAAAACTGAAAATGGGCCCAGAGAGGCGAGAGAGAGACTCTCTGTGCTTTGCCGTGCTCCTCCCACAGTGGCCAGGGCTAGAGCTGGGGCTGCGGCTGCTTGTGTCCCCAGGATCCCAAAGGAGGGGACATGGCCCGCTCCACAGCCCAAGGAAGTCAAGTGGAGAGCAAGTCCACTCCAGGCCCAGAGGAGGCTGTGGGACTCTCCCAGGGCCACTGTGAGAGGCTACAAGTGGTTCCCGGCTGCTCCAGAAGTCAAACCTAACCCCCATGAGGGATGGGGTGTGGGACACTCACAGAACTAGACCCTTAATGCCCAAGAGAGGCTCTTCCTCCCCTCTGGGAGCTAGAATACAACGCACAGAGTGGGTGGGCTGGGGCAAGCCAGGCTGGGACAGAATATCCCCACCAAGCTGTGTGTCCTTGGGCTGCTCTCAACGTCTCTGGGCCTCCTTTGCCTCTGCCTCTACGCAGGGCCCGCAGGGGAAATCTTTCAAAAAGCCTTGACCCGCCATCCCAGGACTGATCCACCACTTCCCACTGACCTTTGCCGACAGTCCCCGAGGCTGTGATCACTTTCTCAGCCTCCTTTCTCTCTCCCTGCAGGGCCGTGGGAGGGGAAGCTGACAGGGAGTGGGGCTTCTGGGGAAAGGAGTGATGTCAGCCGTCTGAGTCAGGGCAGCCGGGGAGGTGGGAGCAGCATCGGCTACAAACAAACATTCCACCCCTCCCCAGGAATGGCATCCTCGTGTGTTGACCTGGCAGGCTGTGCCAGGCTTTGTTACTGAAAGCTGGTGACAGACAGCGGCATGGGCTGCCCAGGGCTTGTTCTTTGAGTTATTGCTTGGAGACAGGCTCCCTCTTAGGCAGCGGGGGACACGCGGGTCCCAGCCCAGACAGAGTATGAGAGCCACCGTGCCTCTTGCCCGGGGGCAGACTGTCCTCTGTGCTTTCATGCACAACCCCCAAGCTTAGACCTTCTTTCTGTGGCTCAGGAGGAACTGCTTCCTCCTCTCCGCTGCAGCTCCAACCGAGGGCTTCTGTGTCTATAGACTGTCACCTGCCTGGGGTTCCCCCCTGTGGCAGGACACAAGAGCAGAGGGGATGGCAGGCTGCCGCAAGGGAGACAAGACAAGATGGCTGATGAGGTCAGTTGACCACCCAACATAGGCCAGGCTGGGAACTGAGCAATTGGAAAGATATGGGGTGCGGGGCACTGGGTAGCTGAGTCCGTTAAGTGTCTGACTCTTGATTTTGGCTCAGGTCATGACCTCATGGTTCTGAGCGTCAGGCTCTGCGCTGACAGTGGGGAACCTGCTTCAGATTCTCTCTCTCCTTCTCTCTCAGCCCCTCCCCCCTCCTCTCTCTCTCTCTCTCTCTCTCTCAAAATGAATAAACTTTTTTTATTTTTTGATTTAAAAAAATTTTTTATGTTTATTTATTTTTGAGAGAGAGAAACAGAGCATGAGTGGGGGAGGGGCAGAGAGAGAGGGAGACACAGAATCTGAAACAGGCTCCAGGCTCTGAGCTGTCAGCACAAGGCCCGATGCGGGGCTTGAACCCACGAACTGCGAGATCATGACCTGAAACCATAAGTCGGACACTGACTGAGGCACCCGGGTGCTCCTCAAAATAAATAAATAAACTTCAAAAAGAGTAAAAAAGGAAAGATATGGTGTGAAGAAAATAGTTGCTGCCCTTGGGAGCCCTCATACAAGGGGGATAGGACTTTCTAAACTAACACTGGTAATTATTATAATCAGCATTTACTGAGCACTTACTACGCGGCAGACACTTTCAGTGCAATAACCGGTCTCCCGTGTCCACTCTGGGTAGGCTCTGCCCGCCTCCTTCCTGATCAGTCACCTACCTCCTAGACCCCTGTAGGTTGCTTTGCTCTCTGGCTTCCAGGTGGGTTGGCCACGGTAGAGGGGATTGGGGGGTGGGGTGGGGGGAACCAGCAGGAGATCTGGGAGGGAGGAAGAGAGGACAGGTACTTCTCCCCAACTTCTTCCATAATTGCACCTTCTTCCAAGGTCCCTGTTCCTCTCTCATCTGTCACTTCTTCCTTTTGTCTCTCGGCTCTACACAGGGCGGCCTCCTCATCCTGGTTCTCCCAGGACTGTCCTTGTTTAGCACTGAAAGTCCCACGTCTTGGAAAAACGCTCAGCCCTGGGCAAATGACCAGCCCCTCTAGTTCTGGGGGTGCCCGAGGCTTCCCATTGCCTGTCCATCCTTTCAGAGTTTCCTTAGCCACGCCCATACCTCCCCAGGTACTTCTTTCATTAAAGCCCATTGAATTGGTGAATTTCATTTCCTGCTGGGACCCTGAATGGCATGACCCTCACTCAGCCTTGTGAGGTAAGCTGTGATTAATCTTTTTTCACAGATGATATGGCTTGGTCAAAGTCACAGCGCTGGTAAGTGGCAGAGCTGGGATGCAAGCCCAGGAATCCTGGCTCCTGTGCTCCCCAACCCATGTCTCCCTTATAGAAGGCTGAAAAGCCTCCTTCTCAGATACTTTTGATGGACAGGTCCATAGGTCTGAAAAAAGGGCTGACCTCCCCTTAAAGCCCGGGGGCGGGAGAGAATGGCCTGACTTCCTGTGGCCAAGGCCATGGGGTTTGGAGTTAGCCACATGGGGAGCGAGAAGACAGGAGGAGCAGTGCAGGAGCCAATGCGCTGCTGGGAGAAGGTGACCCTCCTCATGCTGCTAGCACCCGGTCCTGATGCTTACACTCCTGACTTCCTGCGGAGCTTCCTACGGAAAAGGGAAGAAGAGGCTTCCAGCTTCATGTTCAGACAGGCCCAGTGGTGGGGTGAGAGCCAAGAGGTAAGGGGATGGGCTGAGTTTCAGTCCCAAGTGTCCATCAGAACCACCACCCCCCCGCCCCGCCCCGGCACAAGCCAAGCAGCTGATTCCGATCCTGGGTTCAGCAGAACTTGTCCATGGGTCCCAGGCTAATGGGAAAACTGGATCCCAGACAAGAACCAGACAGAGACAGAGCCAAGGATAGCAACAGGTACGTCCAGGCTGCGCCAGGGACAGAAAGGGTCTGGCACATTCAGACTCGGGGAATTAGGAAAGGTTTCCAGGAGGAGAAAAATCCAGTGCAGACATGGGAAGAAGGAGGAGCAGGGTTGAGGGGCTGTCTTCAGTCAGGAGTATGGCTAATTTGCCAGGGAACAAGCTAGAAGAGATACTGAAACACCAGCGGAGATGGAGGGGAGGGAGGAGGACATCCCAGGGAGCAGAGGGGAGGGCTGGAAGGTGATCCCTGATGAGCTGATTGGGATGAGGGATGAGATGCCCATTGGATATTCCCAAAGAGTAATAGATATTCCAGAGTGCCTTCTGAGGGCAATGGGCTGAACAGTGTTGCTTCTGTTTGCGGGTGAAGTGCAAGCCTGGGGGCAGAGCTGAATTGCCAGAAGGAGTGGCAGAGAGACTGCACATCGTCGCAGGGAACCTTCATCTCTGCCCTTCAGCCTCCCCTCTAAATGCCCTCAGAACACGTATTTAAAGCTAGTGCTTCACATCACGGCTGAATTATTAATCCGCTGGGGGTACTCCTGTCCAGGAGAAGGGCCAGGTTAAAGCTCAGAGATGGGGGGGAGCCGAGGCAACAGGACCCAGCTTGCTACCTCGGATGGAGCTGGAGCTGGGGCAACCCTGGGAGGAGGCTGGACAAAGGGACAGGACACAAGGAACTTCACCAGAAATCCCCATCTCCCAACAAAAGCTGCCTGAATTAGGTGCCGGATGCTGGCCTCTCGCCCTGGTAACCAAGGCCTCCGGAAGGAAGATCCGGCTCTCGTGGGTGAGAGGCGTTGCGCTGGAGAACCCAGAAACTGAAGGAGATGGGAGAGACCCTGAACCCAGGGGTGCCTGGCTGCCTCGATCTGTGGAGCATATGACTCTTGATCTTGGAGTCATGAGTTTGAGCTCCACATTGGGCATAGAGCTTACTCAGAAAGAGGCTGAACCCATTAGGAAAGCAGGATGGGGTTGATCCAGCATAGCCCAGCCTTGGCACAGTGCCTCGAGTATGGTTTGCACTCAATAGAATTTATGAGAGGGAAAGAGTGGGGGAGGGAAGAGAGAGAAGGGAAGCCCCCTCAGGGAGAAGTGGGTGCTGCTTCATGTCACAGAAGAGCTAGAGAAATGGTCCAGAGACTGCTGAAGAGGACTAGGGAGGTAGACCAAGGTTCCAGCCTGCAGGCTCTGGTCAGGGGGCTTCAGGCCTCTCCTCTCCCCCCAAAGGACAATATTTGGCTGGCCAAGCCTACCAGGGGTTTCTCAGCTCTGCCTGAGGACTGCGGGGAGGAGAGGATGAGGCTGGCTGGCTGGAGGACAGGGTGCCATGGACGTGGTCTGGGGTGGACCACAGGCACAGGAGACACAAATCAGTAAGCAGAGCAAGGCCGGACTGGGAAAGCACTTGAAACAGCAGGCAAGGATGCTTTTATTGACTTATGCAGAATCCCCTGTGGGCGGGCTCAGGCTGTGGGCAATGGACACAGAGCTGGCCGTGCAGGGCGGTAGAGGTGGGAACGGGGCTGAGAGGGCTCGGGAAGGCATGGGGAGCAAGTGGCCGGCAGGTCACTCAGTATGTGATGGACGTCTTCAGACTTGACTCCACTGTCTTCTTCAGGATGGTGTGACAGCCAGAGCTGGAGCCGGAGCTGGAGCCAGAGCCGGACACAGAGCAGGGGCCCAAATCAGGGCCCTGTCCAGAGCCCAGGATGATGCTGGAGCCTCCAGTCACGATGCTGGAGCAGCTGGACCCGAAGCTGCCTGTCCCGCCTCCGAGTCCACAAGTGGCCCCCAGGCCACCACCAGCTCCTCCAGACACGACGGCGCTGCCTCCCCCCAGAGCTGCCAAGAAATGCACCAGGGTCACGGCAGGGTCCTTGGGTCCCCACGGGGACCCCTCTTCCCAAGTCCCCTGATACTCACAGATAGTGACCTGGCTGGTGCATTCCCCAGACATCCTGGTGGAGAAAGGACAAGAGGAGGAAATGCTAAGACAGGCTGCAAAGCAGGCATCCCATGTGCTTTTTCACTTCTTGGAGGAGCTCACCCACCCTCTCAGCAGATACAACCTGCGGTCCCAATTTTAAATCCCTGCCTCCCAGCAGAATGGGTTGCCCTCAGTGGCTCAGAGTGCCAGGAAATCTCAAAATCCCCCTCAGCAAGGAGAGCGCCGCAGTGGCGGTCCGGTCCGTCCCCCTCTCCCACCTCAGTCGAGTTCCCACCTGCACTCCTCGCCCTCCAGCAGCCTGCGGTAGGTGGCGATCTCCACGTCCAGGGCCAGCTTCGTGCTCATCAGCTCCTGGTACTCACGCAGCAGTCGGGCCAGGTCCTGCTTGGCTGTTCTCAGAGTGGCCTCCAGCTTGTCCAGCTTGGCCCGGGCGTCCTTCAGGGCCAGGTCCCCACGCTGCTCAGCATCAGCGATGGTGGCCTGCAGGCCGGCGTTCTGGGATGGGTGTAGAAATGAGGGAGAAAGTGGCTGCAAGCCTAGGACCACCTCCCAAGGCACCTACTGTGAATGGAGCTTAAAGCCCAGGGTAGACCACAATCTCATGCGTTCAAACTATCCATGGCCAACCCCTGCCCCCCTCCACCCCCCCCCCGTTGCTCTCCTTCTAAGGGAAAGCATTGCCTCTTCTGCTTCCTTAACTCCCAAAGTGAGTTGAATGGAGTCTCCAAAACGTCATGTCCATCTAGAACTTCAGACTGTGATCTTATTTGGAAAGAGGAGTCTTTGCAAAGGTAATGCATTAAGGATCTCAAGATGAGCCCTAAATCCAATGAATAGTGTCCCTAGAAAAAGATAAGAGAGCACGGAGACAAACACAGAGAGATGATGCCACGTGACAATCAAAGGGACTGAAGTGATGCAGCCACAAGACAAGGAATGCCCAGGATTCCCGGGCCACCAGAGGCTAGGAGAAGGAGAGGAAGAATTCCCCTGCTCAGCTCCTTCAGAGGGAGTGCACCTGCTAGCATCCGATGTCATACCTCTGGCCTCCAGAACTGAGAGAAAACATGATCTGGTTTTCAAGCCTCCAAGTTCGTGGTACTTTGTTACAGCCGCCACAGGAAACTCATCTGCCTCCTGTCTCACCTCCTCCAGTGATCTTTCCCTATTTCTTCCCACTCCTGACCCTTAGCACCTTACTTGAGGCACTTTATCTCTACCCAGGCACTTAATGCTCTTCCCGTCCTGCATAGAGCATTATCTACAAGTCTCATCTTGAAGGCGACCACCATCCTTGATTGTTTTAGAACAGCCCCATTTCAAATACTTTGTCCTGTTATCAAAGTCCAGTAAAACCTTGGTATGGGAGCGTAATTCATTCCAGAGCCATGCTTGTAATCCAAAGTACTTGTATATCAAAGCGAATTTCAAAAACCATTGGCTCAGTTGTGATCATGTGATGTTCGGTGTCACATACTACTCGTATTGCAAGACATCGCTCGATTACCAAGTTAAAATTTATTAGAAAGTTTTGCTCGTCTTACGGAACACTCGCAGAGCAAGTTACTTGCAAGCCAAGGCTGTACCTTATATCAAACCACGTGCCTCAGTTTTGGGTTTGAGAAATACACTCTCTGTGCTTACCTCTCTGATCTGAGAGAAAACTCCCAAAAGAACATCATCCCTATCTAATCTGCCATCCAGTGGATTTACCCTCATGTTTGGGTCAGGAGAGAAGGCATTCCCTAAAGGCTCTCATTATTCTATTCCATTGTAGTCTCATTCTATTCTATTCTATCTTATTCTATTCTATCCTATCCTAACCTATCCTATCCTATTCTATACATAAGCACCTTATTGTTGGGAGACATCATCTCTATCCTACAGATAAAGAAACTGAGGTTCAGAAAGGCAGTGAGTGGCAGAGCTGGGACCCTAACCTCGGACAGCTGATGTCTAGTCCTAGACCACGGGGCTCTGCAGGAAGTCCAGTCCACCATGTGTATGCATGAAAATGAGGAGTAAGGCAGGTGGGGAGGTCTTTTTCCCAAAAGGGATTTTCGCAGGACAGGCACCTTGCTGTGTGGCAGATGTGGGGACGGAGCAGCACTCCTAAGTGTTGGTTGCTGGACTGAGACTCCACACCCTCACAATCACCCAAGTGAACTAACTAAGCTTAGAAAGTGGGTTTCTAGGGGCACCTGGGTGGCTCAGTTGGTTAAGCGTCCAACTTCAGCTCAGGTCATGATCTCATGGTGCATGAGTCCGAGCCCCACATCAGGCTCTGTGCTGACAGCTCAGAGCCTGGTTCCTGCTTCAGATTCTGTGTCTCCCTCTCTCTCTCGCCCCTCCCCTGCTCATACTCCGTCTCTCTTTCTCAAAAATAAATAAGCATTAAAAAAAAAGAAAATAAGTTTCTGGGCTCCACCCTTAGATACTGATTCCCTTAGTCTGACAGAGGCCCAGGGATCTGCATTTTAACAGATACTCCCAAGGAATTCCCAAGCAAGGAATTCAAATCTATGGGCAAAACACTGTGGCCGCAAATTGAATAATAAGACCCAGTCACCTTCATCTCGGGTCCCGAATCACATTCCAAAGGAAAGCGGGTGAGGAGGGGTGGAGACTGTGTCTGGGCTTTGAACAGCCCTGGAGCTCCAAGGGCTTTCTCAGCTTCCCTCCCCCGCCCCCCCTCCCGGTTTGGGAGTGGGCGGGCCACACGTGCCCTGGTTCTCAGCCTGAAGTGCTTGAGGAGACCGCCTGATCTGCCCTCTCAGCTCTCAACCCTCTGCTGATCCTAAAACTGATTCCTCGGGTTTGGGGAAAGTGGGTGCAAAGATACTTGAGAACTGAGGAATCTGTAATCTTTCACATCTAAAAGTGAGGCCTCCGGGACTAGCAGGAAACCATGTCCCCTGCCTTCTCCCTCCCCCTACTCCATCCCATGCCAGGCACCTAAAGCGTCACCTCCAACCCACACAAAGCATCTCAAGCATCTGCGTAAGAACTAGCCCCCTACACACACACCCCTATTCCACTGCCCATCACACCTGCTCCCTGAGCTCCTGGCTCTCATGCTCCCCAAATGGGACCCAGAGAGTCAGCACCTGGCCTTAGAGTCTCCGCTGGGCTTGAGGAGTAAGAGTCAAAAGAAAAGACTGGAAAACAGATAGATTAACACTCTCTCCAAGGAGCCAAAGGCAGCACAAGCAGAGCCCCCAGCAGTTGTTCAAAGTAAAACCCACACAGGCTTGAATTCGGAGGGAGATCATATTCCTCTAAAATGGGGCTTGAGGCCCTCTCCACCCAAATCATCCAAAGCTTCAGCCAGTTATCAAACCTGGACACAAACCTAGCCTTGACCTTGGCACCAAGAGAGTACAGGGAGGGCCTGGGGAGCTCTGGGAGCACTTACCTGCTTCTTGAGTTTCTCAATCTGACTCTGCAGCCTCTGACTCGCCTGCTGCAGCTGAGAGATCTGGACTTTGGTTGCCTTCATGCTATCCCCGTGAAGCTGTGCAGACACCTGAAGCTCCTGGTACTGAGGGGGACAGAGGTGACGCCATTAGTTGAGAGGACTTTCACCTTTGACTTCAAGACCATGAGAAATATTGTGTCCCCGGTTCTTTGCCTTCTCGCCTCTTCACTTGGAATGCAGGTTAAACACTGAGGCCAGGACACGATGGGCTGAGCCTACGACAGCCCAGGCTGGTGTCCCCGTTTCCCTGCACTGCCCTCCTCCTGGAGAAGGGAGGTGGGCATACCCACCCAGCCCTGGAGCCCCAGGGAGGTTGTTAGAACTGCCCCAAGGGGACCGAGGGGGCCGACCACCCTGGGGCATGGGCACAGAGACACAGCCCTTTCCGGCCCGGTGCTGCCCCCTGGCCCTGGCACCTTGGTCTGGTACAGCATCTCGGCCTCGGCTTTGCTGTTCCGGGCGATCTCCTCGTACCGGGCGCGCACCTCAGCGATGATGTCGCTGAGGTCCAAGCAGCGGCTGTTGTCCATGGACAGCACCACGGACGTGTCGCTGGCCTGGGTCTGGAGCTGGCTCAGCTCCTGCGGGGAAGACGGACTCGGTGTCCACCTGCTCCTGCTCCCTTCCCCCCTTGGAGCCTCGGGCAGGTGGACAGGATGCCTGACTCCATCAGGGGGCAGCCCTCGTTCCCCCAGGTGGGGTGGTATTGAGCACGCCCCGCCCTCTGCTGTCTCCTCGCCTGAAAATGAGGGTTGTAGGAGGTGATGTCTAATGACTCTTGCAGTGTGGACATTAAAGGTAAATGTCCTGCAAGCTCGAAATTACCTAGTCCCCATCACTCCCCTGACTTCTTATCACGCCCCCCTCCCTCTCGCTCCTCCAGCTCCAACCCCCACGGCCTCCTCAGTTCCACAAAGATACCAGCGCTCCACTGGGGGCCCTTCCCTCCACCTGCAATTCCCCAGTTCCACCTGCCTGGCTTCCCCACCTTCCCCACCGGCCTTCTTTTTTTTTTTTTTTTTAATTTTTTTTTAATATTTTTATTTATTTCTAGGAGAGAGAGAGAGAGAGCGTGAGCAGGGGAGAGTCAGAGAGAAAGGGAGATACAGACTCTGAAATAGGCTCCAGGCTCTGAGCTGGCAGTCAGCACAGAGCCCGACGCGGGGCTCAAACCCATGAACTGCAGGATCATGACCTAAGTGAAAGTCGGACGCCTAACCGACTAAGCCACCCAGGCGCCCCTTTAATATTTTTTTAATGTTTTGTTTATTTCTGAGAGAGAGAGAGAGAGAGAGAAAGACAGCATGAGCAGGGGAGGGTCAGAGAGAGAGGGAGACACAGAATCCGAAGATAAGCTCCAGGCTCTGAGCTGTCAGCACAGACCCCGATGCGGGGCTCGAACCCACAAACCATGAGATCATGACCTAAGCTGCAGTCGGACGCTTAACCGACTGAGCCACCCAGGCGCCCCTTCCCCACCAGCCTTCTAATCTTTGCTCAAACTTTGTCTTCTAAATGAGGCCACTCTGACCACCCTATCTGAAATTGGCACCTGCCTTACCCCCGACACATACACATTCCTAAGCCCTCTTTCCCTGCTCTGATTTTTCCTGTTTGCCATAGCACTGATCACCTTCTAACATATGCTAATTTACTTTTCGTAGCTCTATGGTTTATGGTCTGTCTCTCAACAGAAAGCAGGCGTGGTGATTTGTGTCTGGTTATTCACGAGTGTATCTGCAGTACCTAGCAATCCACATGGCACATTCTCAGTATCTGTTTGTCACATGACTGAATGCCTGGATCCAAGTCACCCTAACCAGGCTTTGCCTCCTGGCAACTCCCTCTGTAGCCAGGGAGCCTGCCTGCCCCGTCCCCTCCCCTCACTCCCACCTGCCCTCAGCAGACCACCACCCTGCACTTGGCAGATCCTCACTTCTTCATACAGATGCCTCAGGAAGCAGAAATACTCTTGCAGAGACTCCAGCTTGCCTTCTAGTTCCATCTTGCTCAGGAAAACCCCATCCACATCCTGGGGACGGGAAGACAGAAGCCATGTACTCCCACTTCCTGTTTGTGGGTCCCACTCTGGCTCAGGAGTTCTGGGCACACATTGCCCAATACTCATCTACAGCTATCCCCGGAGACCCACTCCTTCCTCCTCCAGCCCTGCCCCTCCCTGCTCTCCCTTTTGCCTCACACTGACGCACACTGCCTTCAGGAAGCCTTCCCTGATTACTCTCAACCAGTTCGGCTTCTTCCACTCCCTCCCCACCCTCTCCCACAGTGACACCCAGAGCTCATCACGCGGTCCTTCCATCAGCTCTTGTCCCAGGGTCCCTGTGTCTACACAGATGTCCCATTTCCCTGGGGGCCCCTACAGGCTGCATGAGATCATGTGTTGCTTTAGGATTCCCACCTCCCGCCCTCCCAGCCCTAGAACCGGGCTTTGTGCATGGTGTGTTCTCAGGATCCACGGGAAGCAGCTGACCCCCTCCGCCTTACCTTTTTGAGGACCGCAAAGTCATTCTCAAGTGTGGCGTGCCTGTGGGCCTCCTGCTCATACCTGTCAAATACGTACAGAAGGACGCTGCCTGAGGGGGTGAGATCAGAGCCCATGCCCCTCCTCCAAGCACAACAGCCCAGAAAAGGCTCCCCTTGCCATTAGACACTTCCACGAAACCGGCCCACTCCCCTACCTTCCCTATCAGAAGGTCACTGTCACACCCTGGCTGGGACCCTCTCTCCACTCTTTCAGCCCGTGTCTGCTTGAACACATGAGGCCATTTTCCTTCACGTCTATAAGGCACATTCCAACACCTCTCCTCGCCACTCACAATCGTCATGTGAAGCAGGCACTTTGGATTTTGTCAGAGAGAACACATGACTTTGCCCAAGTCGTGCATAATCAGATGGCCCCCGCAGATCTAAGACCAGGTCTCCTGGCCCCTGTCCTGGGCTCTTTCCGGGACCCACTCGGCCTCATGTGTCATCCTCCCAATGGCTCCGGGAGATGAGAAGGGCAGAGGGTACGTTCCCAGCTTACAGATGGGAACCGAGGCCGGCAAAGGTAAAAAGCCACACAGCCACCCCTTGCTCCCACTCGCCAAACCCAAGCCTCCTGTGAGTCCAGGGCTCTTTCCACACCACCAGGTGGCCTAGGTGGGGAGCCCAGAAACACAGCCCAGCTGTGAATCATGCCACAGGCCTGGGGATGGTCCCACTAAATGGATTCCCTTCCACCACCGAGACCAGAGAACATCTGAGTCATTTTAGCCCACAGCTTGCTCAACAGGAATTTATCGAGGAAAAACCCAATGAGGCATTGTTTAAATAAGCCCCTCCTAGCCCTGACCGGAAACATGGCCCTTGTAGCTGGGTCTTTTGGAACCAAGGCTCCCCAGACCTGGCCATCAGGAAGTGGGGGGAAGGGGGGGCTCCTTACCTACAACAGTGGGGCACCCTGAGAATCAGAGGGATTGGGGTGCAGAGGGGAAACCGCTGATGCGTCTCTGGGAGCTCAGCATGTGGGAGACCCTCCAACCGACAGCCCCCATCCAAACCCTCCCGGACCCCACCTGCGCCCCATGGGCTCTGGGGTTTGCCTACTTGGCCTTGTGCTCCTCTTCCTGGTCCTGGCAAGACTTCAGCTCGGCGTCCAGGGCCCCTCGTTCGCTCTGAAGCTGCTCCAGCAGCTTCCTGAGCCGGGCCAGGTAGGCCTCGAAGACAGACTCCAGGCTCTGGGGACTGTCACTCACCTCCTGCTGCTGCAGCAAGTGCCACTTCGTCTCCAGGACCTTGTTCTGCTGCTCCAGGAACCGCACCTGCAGCCCAAGCAGAGGGTCCCTGAGGCTCCGGTGGGACTCCCTGGCCACAGGCTCTGAAAGCCAAGCCCCAGGAACACCCCCCCCCCACTTAGCCCACCTTTCCCCTATCTCCCAAATCCAGCGTGGGCAGGGGCAGCCTCACGCCCTCCCGTGAGACTCTGAGCTCATCAAAATGATCGGGATGGCTAGCAGGGAAGGAGCCTCCCACTGCCGAACGACGGTTCTCGGTCCCTGTGCCCCAACCCTAGAACAGCAGAGCCTCTGCATAATGAGGACGCAGTGAGACCACTGGAAGGACTTCCTTGCTGCAGAAGAGATTAGAAAAGTGGAAACCAAGGAGATTTCCCCATTCCCAAATCCACCAAGGACAGTTCCTCCGAGAGAGGCGCAGAGAGAGGGGCTTAGCAGAGCTGACCCTCACCTTGTCAATGAAGGAAGCAAACTGGTTGTTGAGGGTCCTGATCTCTTGGGTCTCCTGGGTCCGCACCGCCTGGAACTGGGGGTCAATCTCAATCTTCAACGGGGTCAGCAGATTGTGGTCGATGGTCACTTCCCGGATGCCCCCCGGTGGGCACAGGGAAAGTCCAGGCCCACAGCGGCCCTCCCCAAGCCGCACCCCTAGCCTTCCCCCTGATCCCCAGGCCCTCCCACGAGAGCCCCCCTTGCACCCTCCGAAGGAACCAAAGCTCCTGCTACTGAAGCTGCCCCCGCGGCGGCCCCCTGAGCGAGCGGAGCAGGCCGAGCGAGCACTGAAGCCCCTCTGGGCCTGGCAGGAGGGGAGAGACATGGTAGAGACAGAAGGCCACACAGCTGCAGACAGACAGTGGATAACCGAGGTGTGTGAGTTCCTGCCCCGAGGCCCCAGCACGAGACTTTTATCCCCTCCCATGCCTGGGTTGGGCCTTGGGGAGCAAGATGCTCTTGGCCTGACTGTATCTGTCACTGGCTCCAGCTGACCTATTCTGACACGCCTGGAGAGTAGGGGCCCAACACGTGTGGAGCCCAAGGGACAAGGAGCTCCCAGGCCGGCAAGAGAGCTGAGCCCGTCCCAAAGACAAGGAAGCAGCTGGAGACCGGGGCTGGGGGTGGGAACAATGGCCCCGAGCGGTCACTGTGGGTCATTCAAGGAAGGCGTTCCAGAGAAGGAGATGGGGGGATGGGGAAGGAGACAGGGGGTTCACATGGAGCATCTGAGTGCCCTGGAGATGCTGGACAGAGGAGAGTGAAGCTTCTCGAGGGAGAATCTACCTACAATAATTGGAGAAGGAAGGCACTCAGTGGCACTCAGCGGCACTAAGAGAAACTACGAGGTTAATAGAGGTGTTATTGTCATCATTGGCTAAACGACACTCCAAGATTTGGAAATGAATCCAAAATACAGGGTGTCCAAGTCCCTCCTCTTGCTCAACCCAGCAATCATCCATGAGGCACCACCCCACTCCAACCAGGCATCTCCATCCAGGACCTGGGCAAGTGGCGCATTTCCAAGCCCAGCTTATGTCCCCAATCCTTCCACAGGCACACAGCCCAGTCCCATCCACTTGGGTCATGCACTGCATGTGTCAGGTTACAGATCAGAGGCACCTGGACTCTGAAGTAAAACACATAGTTAGAAAAATACTCCCTTGGGATAACGAGGGCAGACACGGGAGTCCAGGGATCCCCCCAGGATAGATCCTGTGTCTGCCCTCTGGTATTCCGTGAGCCTCCCACCCCGTCCAGGATGCCTGGACCGGGCTCGTCCCGTCGCCACCACTGAAACTCCTCCAACATTGGCGAGCAGCGTTGGACAGCTTGGATTTTTAGAAATTTCTGAAATTCCTTCTTTACACGGTGGTGGGAAGGCTATTTCTTCCCCCCTCCCCCCCCCCGCCCACCTGCTCCTAAGACTGGTGGCCCCTGATAACTAGGATACTGTGCCTTTAATAATGCAATTCAAAGCAGGAATAAGCAGGGATTCGGCATAACGAACACTCAAGAGACATGCTATGAGGAAGTCAGTCCTAGCAACGTGAACCCCACCCCCAGGCCAGATGATAGTGAGCCAGTCTCTTCTTCCTCCAAAGGATTAGAAGCCCCTTCCTCCTTCTTGCCCCAACTGGCACACCTCTGAATAAAGCTGAACCACAGATGACCTCAAGGGGAAGAAGAGGTTGGGCCTTCGGTGGGGAGAACAAAGGAGATCAAAGCACTAAGGGGCCAGGTCAAGGAAGAGAAAAAGAGAAAAGATCCAAGCAGGAGATCTGAGTGTCCCATGGAGAGGGAGGCAGTGTGGAGCAACCTCCGGGTCTAGAAAGAGAATCTGGGAAATGGGTTGAATCCCACTGAGGACGCACCTCCAAACCCTACCCACTAGGGACCATCTTCCCCACTAGGGAAGCCCGATGCCTTCCTTCCAGGCTCCATGAATGTGTTTGATAAACATCTCTGTGGACTGGACTCTACCACCCCTTCCCCTGGTATTAAGGGTGGAGGACAGAGATCATGGGTTGGATGGCACCAAATCCACCTCCCTGGAACTTCCTCATATTTGTAATGTTATAGAATATTAAAGCCAGGGGCGCCTGGGTGGCTTAGTCGGTTAAGCATCCGACTTTCGCTTAGGTCATGATCTTGCGGTTTGTGGGTTCGAGCCCCGCGTTGGGCTCTGTGCTGACTGCCAGCTCAGAGCCTGGAGCCTATTTCAGTCTGTGACTCCCTCTCTCTCTGACCCTGCCCTGCTCACGCTGTCTCTCTCTCTCTCTCTCCTAGAAATAAATAAAACATTAAAAAAAAAATTTAAAAAAAAAAAAAAAGAATATTAAAGCCAAAGTGAACTTCAATGTCATTGTCCAATGCCCCCATTTTACACTTAAAGATTCTGAGGCCCCATAGGGTTTAGGGCGGGGTGCAAAGACTGTGCACTTGGGTAACCTAAGAGATTGCACCAGATGACCTCTAAGCCTGCTTTGACCCATCACTCTGTGATCTGAGTGACTTGCTGAAGGCCACCCACACAGCTGGTCAGGACCACCACTCAGCTGAGACCACTGCCCCATGGAGCAGCCCCCTAAACCCTTGGTCATACCTTGTCCACCACTCTATCCAGCGCAGGGTCTGGTATACACTAGGGACCAATAAGTGTTTGTTTTAAGACCTGAATCTTTATAAATGACAGTCACAGCAAGGACCTTCTTGAATTGCCCTGGTTCTCAAATGCTGCTGTCACAGGTTTTCTTCCATTAAAAATAATAATAATAGGGGCAACTGGGTGGCTCAGTCGGTTAAGCACCCGACTTTGGCTCAGGTCATGATGTCACGGTCTCTGAGTTCAAACCCCGCGTCGGGCTCTGTGCTGACAGCTTGAAGCCTGGATCCTGTCTTCAGATTCTGCGTCTCCCTCTCTCTCTGCCGCTCCCTCACTCCTGCATTCTCTCTCTCCCTCTCTCAAAAATAAATAAAGCATTTTTAAAAATTTTTAATTAGGGGTGCCTGGGTGGCTCAGTCGGTTGAGCATCCGACTGGCTCAGGTCATGATCTCGGGGTCCGGGAGTTCAACCCCCACATCGGGCTCTGCTGACAGCTCAGAGCCTGGAGCCTGCTTCAGATTCTGTGTCTCCTCTCTGCCCTTCCCCTGCTCATGCTCTGTCTCTCTCTGTCTCTCAAAAATAAATAAACGTTAAAAATTTTTTTTAATTTTTTTAATTAAACATTTTTTAAAATTAATAAGAATTAAAATAAAATAAAAATAATAAATCAAAAATAAATAAATAATCATTTAGCGATGGAAAGAATGCTGATGCAGTTTGGGGATTTGAATGCTAGGCCCTCACGGGCTGAGCAATATGTTCCTATACACAAAGGGGCACAGAGGGGTCTCAATTCATGCAGCAACCGAAGTACAAACGGCACAAATCACGACTTCCCATTAAACCCAGCAGTGTGAAGCCTCTGATGGGTCATGGTTACGGCTGTCCTTGGTCCCCCCTGCTCTTGGTTAACCCTCTTCGGCCACACCTCCTGCTCTGCAGCCCCTGAATATCTGGGCCCACCTTCAGGAAAGCGCCAGGCCGGCTCTGGTTCTTCTAGCTCCCCGGCGGCCCCTTCTTTCTTCCCTGCCTCACCCTAAGCTCACCCTGGCCACAGCAATAAAGCCCCAACCTCTTTCACTCAAGCCTGTCCTGCTTGTGCGGTGGATTTCTTGACCCAAATGCCATTTACTCACCTTGATTCAATTTTTTATCAACAAAATGTGACTAAGCACCCACTGTGTGTGGAAGCCTGTTCTGAGTGTTAAGAATTTAGCAAAGGGCAAAGCACAGCCCCTGCACCAAGAAAGCCAGGAGTCTCATGGAAAAACAGTGAACAAACAGGTAATTAGACAAGTATTTCATTGCAATTAACAATAAGGAAAGAAAAGTATAGGGTATGAGACAGGCCTAACCTAGCTGATCCCCTGATTTATTCTTGAGAATGCCAAGAACGCTCCTGCCTCAGAGCCTTTGCACTTGCTGTTCCCTCTTCCTGGACTTCTCCTCCCCAGATACCCATTGCCTAAAAGTCCTCTTCTCTGCTGCCTTAAACCAAAATCGCGACCCTGGGTCCATCCCTCCTCTGACATTTTTTCATCCCTTTCTCTGCTTGCTTGCTTTCCACTTATCACCTGGCACTTCCTAACATGCCACGTACTTTACTTACTCACTTTGCTCACCAGCTCCCCACAGCAGACTGTGAGCTTCATGAAGGCAGGCATTTGGCCCCTTTGTTTGCTTATATATCTTCTACACTCAGAATGGCACCTGGCAGGGGTGCCTGGGTGGCTCAGTTAGCTAAGCATGACTCTTGATTCCAGCTCAGGTCACGATCTCGTGGTTTGAGTTCAAGCCCCACATCAGGCTCTGCACTGACAGCTTGGAGCCTGCTTGGGATTCTTACTCTACCTTTCTCTCTGCTCCTCTTCCACTCGTTCTCTGTCTCTCTCCCAAAATAAATAAAAATAAACTTAAAAAAAAAAAGAAAAGAAAAGAAAAGAAGGGTGCCTGGCATACAGGAGGTACTTAATATCTTAATGAATGAATCCCCATTCAGTTTCGTTTCATTGATTTCCTTCCACTTTCAACCTCTGGAGGTCCTTGTGACTCTTAATTCTATTCTATCCCCATCCAATCCCTGAAGGTGGGGGGCATGCATGCACTTGAGAAACATGGTCAGTGTGTGTGCGCATGTGTGTTTATTGAACTCCTACTGTGGGTGAGCACTGAGGGACATGATACAGGAGATAAAAAATGGATAGGGCCCCACCCCCATTCTGAAGGAATATACAGTCCCACGGAAGATATATATATGAATACAGAATGGGGGGTGGTCTGAGAGGGGCCGCCCCGTGTTGCAAGTGTGCATGTTGGAGTAATAGTGGGGAAATCCTCTTCTGGAAGAACCTTGACCCCGTGCCATGGGCTTGGAAGAAGGCAAGGACAGGCTCCAGTAGCATAGGCCGCTGGACGCCCTCCCTTTACAGATTTACATCCCCCCAGGGTCTGTCCTTTAGGTCTTCTGCTCAACTATTTGGGAATCTACCCAGTTGTACTTTTCTCCAGACCCCATCTTTTTAATCCAGCATCCAATTCTTGTAATCAAAGTAGAACTGACACACAACATCAGTTTCGAGTGTGCAACACGGTGATTCCCCAAGTCTACGCGTTGTGCTATACTCACTGCAAGTGTAGATATCTGTCGCCATATAACGCTATCACAATAACATAGACTCCATTCCCTGCCCTGTGCCTTTCATTCCTGTGACATTCATTC